GATCTGCTTGGCTTTTCAGAATTAGAAAAATAAAATAAAATAAAATAAAATCGAGAAAATATCCTAAATTGCTTTGAGAGAAACAAAAATGAAAAAAAGCCAGAGGTTAGTTTCGATCATCAACATACTGCAAGTTTGGCAACAGGGTACCCAAAATTACTGAACAATAGTACCCAGTTGGGTACTTGATCAGTACCTTCAAGTACCCATTTACTGGATGCTTTCCAGCAGGGTACTTGGTCGAGTATCTTATAGGTACCTAAAAGTACTTTAAGGTACTTCAGTACCCGAAAGTTCCTGTGACATACTAGTAGCAGGGTACTTTTTAGGGTACCCTTAGCTCAGTACATTCACTAGGGATCTTTCTTTGAAAAGAATTATATATTGCTATTTCAAAATAAGCTATTTGAGGCAAAGTAAGGATAAGTAATCATATGGCAACATATTGAGAAAGATTTTCTGGGTCATTACTATCTTGGTACATTTTGTTTTTTGTATAAATGTTCGGATATACAATCATTAAAATGTCTGGAGAGAAAGTCAAATAATTTAACGATAGAATAACCGATCGGTTATTGGAAGATGCATATTCAATTCCTGTTCTGGTATTATGAACATCCATGTCATTACATTTATTTAAAATCATACGTATTTCTATAGATTAGTGGCTTGATTGTTTCTTTTTGAATTCTTCGATTAATACTATTATATTCACGCTCACATCTCACTAAGAAATGAGCAAAGACATGAGGGACTACTTCAGCTTGAGTTCGAAGAATACAAAATGAAGAAAAGAATGTTTTCGTTATTCAACATCAGTTCAAACAAATAGTCGATATTCATCGAATTAGTTTCATTATGCATTTCTGCCTTATTATGTTTCTCTCAAACTGCATGAAATGTACCTTAATAAAACACTTTTTGTTTTTTTATTAAACAAACAGTTGAAAATTATTTTTCATTGATGAAAACGCTTGAAGTTTCTCTTTTTTGCTCATTGAGCATTTTGCAGGTAGTTATAGACAGTGTCTTTAAAGATTGATCGTTTTTCAATCATTTTCACCAGGGAATCAATACTCGAGTCATCGACAGGAAAATCAAAGCTAATATAGAGCTCCTGAAGAGTTGTATTATGATGAGCCAGAGCATTAGCTAAAAGTTCGACACCTCGATTGTTGATTACATTTTTTTCAGACAATGTTGAATCAATGTGTGATTAGTTTTGAGCATTTCAGCTAGATGTTCAGCACTCATCGCTGTAATATCGTTTGAGTCGAGATGAAGGATTTTAAGAGTCATATTTTTGGTTGAAAGTGCTTCTGCTAACAAAGTTACACCCATGTCAGACAGGTAATTTTCATCAAGATTTAATTCCTCAAGCACTGTTGTTTCGCGTTGCAGTGCATCAGCCAAAATTGAGGCACCTTGTGATGTAATTTGATTTGCCTTTAGGTTCAGAATTGTGCATTGCTTGTTAAATATTGCGTTTTTGACTATAATTGCCATATCTTGATCAGTTAATTGTTGATACGGTAAATCCACGATCGAGCGAAACTCGCATTTAGCAATCAGATCTTCTAGATGATAATCGTGGTAGCCAGTTAATTCTGAAACAAAAATTCAGATGCACCCATAGGAGTAAACCATCGATAAAAATTAATTTTCTCTGCAATTAATGATATTCGTAGAATGAATTCTGCACAGACTTAAAGAAACAGTATTCCGTGGAATGTTTTTTTAAAATAGATCTGTACAAACTTTGATATCGAGAGAAAAATCGATCAAAGCCAAGGATATTTCAAACATTAATGTGACAAAGATAATGATCTTTGATATGAATCATGTTTATATAGAGATTTACAAGCCTAAGGAGCTTCATTACAGAGAAAAAGTTCTAAGATTATCTAAATATCATTGTAATCTATTTGAAAGGCATACATCCTCAAGTTATTTCATGCTGTAAAACACTGTTATCACATTTAGTTTTATCTTCGATTTTTGAAGAAAATATTCAATCGAAAAAAGTACCAGGAATCTCCACAACTACTTAACTTCGGTTTGCTTTCTTAGATTTTTCGAGCGAGTTCCATCTATAACAAAGTATAGAAGATAGTTAGAGCAAAAATTTTTCAGAAATTGTAAGGCAAATGATTTTTTTATTAATCTTATACTTTCAATGCTCGTACTTGAACTGTGACTTCTTTACCGTACAAGAGCCCTATAAAATGTCGAGAGCAAATAAAAATCATAAATTAAGGATGCTCTATATGCTCTTGAATAAAGAATTCCATGCTGAACAAAACTGAACATATGATTTCAGCTCAGAATATAAAATTAATTAATTCACGAAAAATTTATAATACTATCTATCTCGAGTACGTATAGTGATGTCAGATAGATAATGTAAGTGGCCAACGTAACGTATTTTACAGCGCACAGGAAGTATTTCTGTTCCAGTAATATTTTTCAACGCCTACAGAATTATGAGTTTAAATTAGTGCTGAAAAAACTCGCTGCGAAACTAGTACGCGGGTGTGGGTGCCTTTATTGTATTCACATCTACACCCACGCTTTATTTCATCGAATGTTCAAAGTGGTTCGCCTAGTTATTTGGTTAGAATCGAATTGGTTCAAGTCACTAGTTTTTTCGAGAAATAATCTATTACTTCAGTTTTACAAAAACATAATATGTGGAATTCATATAGATTATTGGGTTTCTATTAGAAACAACTCCTATTTTAGTCTAGCAAAGGAAAAAATCACGAAATCCTGCAACCTTGAATTGACCCGAATCCCAAGGATTCCTCAGGGTTCCCTAGGAATTTATAGAATTCTCTTGAAATGGTGTGGGAACGACTTTTCTATCATCCACAACCCATACCCACACCCCACACCCGTTTTTCACGAAAAAAATCCCTATAGCGGCATAAGAAAAACCATTTTGCACAAAACAATAGTTTTTCTTCGTCATAGTGAACTCGGATAAGTGACATTTTACCATATGATTTTTGTTTGGTATTTAGCTTCTTATACAAAAAGATAAATATGAAAAAGAGTATCTGTCTGTAAGTAGCGTAGAGCCAATGAGATACTTTATCTATCATGGATTGTAGAAACTTATTTTGCTTTTGGTAGAGTTCAATATTATCGAATTATCTCCACTTGATTGTTAAATGAACATTTTAGAATGATTAATATATTACACTTCCGCACAAAAGTTTTTTCCCTCTTCGTTTCTGTGCTATCATACTTTGTATAAAATTTATTGCCAAGTAGAGATATGACTTGAGAGTTTTATTTTAGTATAGTGTACGGATCATAATACAATAAAACTCTAAAGTCATATGTCTACTCAGCAATAAACTTTATACAAAGTATGATAGCATAGAAGCGAAGATGTCGAAAGACTTTTGTCTACGGGTGTATTTTATGATTTCTGTCTTTTGATTCTTTTAGAAATATTTTATTTAGAACAATTCTTGAAACCATAATTTAGAATTGTTTTATTAGCTTTACACATTATCAGATATACAATTCTTATATAATAATAAATTCTACTAAAACGAATAGATCGTATTTATAAAAACACTAAAACATAAAAATATTCAATACATAATAATAATTTAAATGTTTTTGTTTTCATCGAAACATAGTTTTAAAACACCAGTGGAACCAAATATATTTTGTATTAAAATATATCTTATTTCTACTTTGAATTTGATGCTATAAATGTACTATTTACGATATTTTTACGGATATTCGAAGTCATTGAGGTGAGAAAGTGCTCTCTGTATTATGTTGCTCTTAATCGGCCGAAAAGATTCTCAAATAAATTATGAAAACTTTGTATGGATTTTTATATTTCGTACAAAAATTGTCAAAATACAACAATGGACAAAAGCCTTTCCCTCTCTTTGTTTCTGTGCTATCATACTTTGTATAAAATTTATTGCCAAGTAGAGATATGACTTGAGAGTTTTATTGTATTGTGACTCGTACACCATACTGAAATAAAACTCTCAAGTCATATCTCTACTTGGTAATAAATTTTTTACAAAGTATGATAACACAGAAAGGAAGAGGCAGAAAAACTTTTGCCCGAGACTGTAAATCAAGAAAATAAAAATTATTTTTGTGTAATAATGGCAATAAAATATTGTTCAGTTCTTGATTCGAACAGTCAATTATAATTTAGATCATTTATTCGAATGACAGTTGAATATCATCTTGAATTGTCTCTCAAATAAAAGAAATTCTCTTTAGGAGAATAACATATATTCTAAACAAGTAAAAGCATCGGAATTAATGTTAATATAAAAGCGAATAACGCAGAATCAAGCATTTTAGTTTATCATGTAAAGATTAACAAACTTCCTGCTCTCTTTCTTTTTCGACAATGCAAATGTTGTCTTTTCTTTGCTCAGTTTTATCTAACAGAATCAACTGTATGCCAAAAAAAATGAAAAGAGATATGTGAAAGATTTCTTAATCTTTTCGATTATTGCTAAGTATATTGAGGAGATTTCGACTTGAAGATTACTAAATTTTCAGATTCAATTTGTTCTAATCCTGAAAAATGATTTTTTTAAAAATAGTAATAAGAAAAGAAAAAATTACAACCGCATTTTGAAGGCAGAAAGGATTAGTTATTTATTGAGTGTTAAATGAAATCCAATATATCAAATCAAGCTGAAAATTTCAGGGAATACTAAACTCACTACTCTCTATAACATATTAAAAAAATCAGCGAATTCTGAGATGTACTTCCATCGTTAATGTTCTATACTGGCTGAGTTTTTTCAGAAACTTACTCTTAAATATTACACAAAAACAAGATATTTTCAAGTGATTTTCATATTGTTTTTGATAAAAATATCTCTGTTAGAGACCCACGTGGCATTTAACTAGTATTAATGATAAGAGATAGAAGAAAAGAGAAAAGGACAGGTAGGTTATATAAAATAAAGGTAAGTTGATGGATATTTAGTCTATTTCTGACAATGTCGAATCGATTACGCAGGCTTTTTTCACCACGAACTGCACCTCAACAAACAGTTGAAGTATTTTAATATGATCTTCTTTTTTCGGTCAAATGTGTATAGATGAACTTTTTAGAAGGAAAAATCAAATAATGAAGAAGAAACAAGAGAACAATGGGATCGACCCATTGAATTCTTGCTTTCATTAATCGGCTCTTCAGTTGGTATGTATTAACAAACATAATTCATCTAATCTCAGTTTTGGATATTTTAGGTTTGGGTAATGTATGGAGATATCCTTACATTGGTAGGTACAATGGTTGAAAGAAGTTCTACTCCCAGTAAATGCAAGAAACGGTAAAATGCCGTTTAAACAGTATCGCGTATGTCTGACTGCATTTCGATGCCTTTTTTAAGGCCAATTTCCAGCGATTTTTCGCTCGAAAAATCGTTTCGACGTGATAAACATTTTTTTGCACAACAAAACTGTTTTAACAGCAAAATCTCGCTTCTTGATCTCATTGACCTATCAAATAAAAACTATATAGACTTCAATCCTTTTGCCTGATATTTTGAGAGATTACCGTGAATTATTTTTTGGGATTTTTTTTCTACAGGATTTCTTTATTGAGGATTTATTAATTGTATCAATATTTCCGCTCACCCACACTATGGGTATGCATGTAGGCACTAGAGCTCGTCGAGTCCAAAAATTTTGGATCCGAACCCTGGCTCGGACTCAATTTTTTAAACGTTGTTGGGACCTGGACTCGGGCTGATAAAAAGAAAAATTTGGATCCGGGTCTACACGAAGGGCTCCAATGGCGAGCCCGGATCGAGTTATTCAGATTTTAAAGTATTGACAGTATACGCGAATACGAGTCATTTTTTTTTACAAGAAATCTATTTTTTCCATTCATATTATACTAAACCTCTACAAAACCTCAAAACTAACACAACAATGCTCAAAAAAACCGGTTAATAGTGTAAAAAAACCTGAATTTGAAAAATTCTGTTTTTCTTACACACCTATACTGTCAATACTTTATAATCTGAATAACTCGATTCGAGCTTGCCATCAGCAGCTCATATTTTTAATTTTGTAGTTTTTCGTTACGAGCTATCATTTGACTCCAAAATAGTTAAGAAAATCAACTTACATGACAAACAGTTCAATTGTTAGACCCCTTAGATCTCCTTCATTGGCGTAGCCAGGGGTAGGGCCATTAGGCAATTGCCCAAGATTCCAACAGTAATTGCCCAAGGATATTTTTGAGATGGTATTAACTGCCCAATTATATAAACCTTCGATGAACATGTAAGTTCGCAGATATTCGTGGTGAAATTCTGACAGATTATTTCTAATTGTAACCTATGGATGTCACGATTCCTGGTTCCATAGTTCCATTGCCTAGGGAACCCATATAGGTTCTGGTTCTGAGGAATGGATAACTCATATAAGTTACGGGTACCCAGCCTCTCGGGAACCCGGAACGTATATGAGTTCTTTGTTTTCAAGAAACAGACATCGGTATAGGATTACCGAAAACAGGGAACGCATATGGGTTCCAGATTCCCGGGTTCTCAGGAACGGAATCTTGTACAGACTTCCGGGAGCGGACTCACATAACATTCCGAAGTCCCCGGAACGGAACCGGCAAAGGATTCTGGATTCCTGAGAACGGGATCGGAAACTATCACCCCATATTGTGATCTAACCAATTGACCTAGGAAGATCGTTCGACGGTCTTTTCCATTAAACGATGATCAAAATCATGGTATACCAATGATATTTTGCTCTAAGCCCTGATTCTTATACTAAAATGTATTTTTAAGAAAACATGAATCAATGCTTAGGGTTCTTTCGAAGCACGTCAAACAATTAATATATCGAATGGCAACGAATGCAATACTTCAAGCTAAACATTTTGGAAATGTAATTGATGACATGAGTATCACAACATAAATGTTTAAAAAATCCAATGAGCTACATAGAAATTCTGATTGAAAATCGATCGAATGGACGAATGACAGCGCTTTGAAAATAGAAGTTAGGGACTGTCAACAGCAGCAAATAAAATGGTAATTCATGATTGAAAGATTCATGAATAACTGAACATTAGAGCCATACAAATACGGAGTAGCCCTTGCCATCGTCCAACGAAACAGAACAAACTAAAGCTCGACGCTACTGCCGAGACATACAAAGAAGGGAGGGATAATGAGGAATTCACTCTCGTCCTCTCTCAAGAACTGATGGTAGAAGGCTGTCCTTAAACAGTTGACCTATAAACTGCTTAATGAAAATTCCTTAGCATACCGTTTATTTAAGTACAGCTTTATTGAAAATTTCAAAAACTTCCATCTCATAAATAAGATTTTTCAAGAATTCTTTAGTTTGATTAACCTTCTCTATATTTTGGTTTTCAAAATAATGTATGTTTCCACTTTTTTAAAGCGTTGTTGAGCAAGAGAAAGAATTGTATTCCACTAAATCAACGTTCAATTTTCTGGCGAGAAAATGGAATCGCAGCCGCTTTTACCGGCTTAGTATCGAACTGAGTGTGTTAATTTTACTGTGAATATTCGAAAAATTGAGTTCCTAGTTAATGAATCCCAGATTTGGCCATTGAAACATTCTGTTCTCTTCTAGAAAGATACTAGCTTCGACTATATGTTCTTCGGAACAGACGTTTAGTTCATAAGTCTAAAACGGTCAACCTCTCGTCACGAAACTGTAGATTTCAAGAAAATGAAAAAATAATTCGCTGCATGGCATTTTTCAGAAAATTTAGCTTGAGAAAAACTGACGGAGAAAACTTTCACAGCTATAGTGAATAATTTCTTACATCTATTTGGCTTCAAAGCCAGGTACTCACCTGCGTTACTCGATAAAGAAAAAGATATGCTTGTTGTGATAGTTTTCACACAAAAAAAATGATAAGATACTTTAAAGTTGGAAAAAACCTTTGTAAAGTATAGTACAAAGATACCAAACACACTCATCTCTTGGTTGAAGGTTGTTAACTTTTTTCTTCAACAAATATCAGCTTTGGAAAAGATAACAAGCTTTGAACAACTGAAGTCCATTTGTCTTTCGAGTTGCCCATGGCTGCCTAACCCTCAAAACAGTTTGGCTGGGAAATTCCCCATTACTCAAAAAATCCTGGCTTCGCCACTGATCCCCTTAGGCCTCTTAGATTCTCTTATATCCCCTTAGACCCTCTAGATCCCCTTAGATCTCCTTAGGTCCTCTTAGGAGTGAGAATGAAGTGTGAGTATATTGTGGGTGAGAGTGTGAGGGATTCAGGATGAGGTAGCGATGTGAGGGTGAGGGTTGATGAGGATCAATGTTATTCGAGCTTGACAGTCGCGTTCGCCTTCGGACTTTAATCTCTCATCTTGGAGAATACTCCAATGTTCTGCGATCCTGTTGATCACCGTTCGTTGGAAAAAGTTGATGCGCTTGTTTTTTCGATGTTCAGTTTGAGATAAAAAAGGATCATTGACGGGTTGACGGTCTATTTTTCTCGGGTTTCTAACAGAGTTCTCTTGAAAAGCTATTGAGATGTTGGATGCCTCTTTTGATCGTTATGTTTTTAAAAGTGTGAAAAAATCAATCTCCAACATAGAGTCTAAAAGTAGCTGAAATATTCTTCGAATATTCATTTAGCGGTAATTCTAAGTAGAAGTAGTGTTTACATTGTTACTCTGTCCTATCTCAGTCGATCAAGCTCGGGTTGATGCTTGCGATTACAGTTTTCGCAGTTGTATCGCTGATAAAAATTTCATGGCAAATGGTCAAGACTGTGCAGAGTTTCTCACATTCTGGAACTTATTGCGATTAGTGTAATTCTGTGTGAGACAAAATATTCTAAATAACATCTTATCTCATGGCTAAAAAGACGAACTGATTGACCTGTATACCACCGAACTTGAGCCTGAATCCTTCGGCCTAAATCCAGAACTACAGTTCTGACTCAATGTATGCCTAACCGGAACCTAGATCCGACGGGCTTACTTCCAGGTCAATTGTCCGCAAAGAGTTTTTTTGCCAGAAATATCTGATCTAATGTAGTTTTTTGCGCTGATTCCGAATATGCTAGTGATTTTACTCTCAGATTAACCTATAATAATACAAACTGCTAAGTACAAACAGACTTTTAACAGTTATGTGACATAGGACAACAATTTTGAGCGTTACTAGATACGCATGCAAGCCTTTTGCCTTTTGTATAATACATCAAAATATGCAAAATTTCACGTGCTATCCGTATACATGCTCACTTTTGTAATAGCTTGTGCTTTTAGTCAAAGTTATGTTAAAAATGAAAAACAATGAAGTTCAGAGAAATCTGATGATGGTAGTACCTTCATTGTGCGAAATTTTTTTTAGTGAATAAATGAAATTTAAGATGTACATATATAGGATTGTAGAGAATTCCATGCCTTATTAGAATACATAATTAATTTTTCAAAAGTAATAATGAAAGATTAAAAATATTCAGTACAACTATTTTTTTCAGGCGCAGGTATTTCATACAAAAGTAAAATATTGTTGAAAAAGTTTCTATACCAAAATTCAATATTACAAATTTTTAAGAATGTCATTCGACGCAGTTTGATGTGCTCTTTCAAATGAAACTATTTTCAAGCTAATCCATCACACTGATTGGACCAATTTGCTCTATATATGTGAACACACTTTCTGAAAACAGTATATAGTACAATCGAACAAAATTTGACGAAAGTATACTTTCAATTTCATCAAAAGATAGTCCATGGTCGATGGTATCTATCGTAAAAAAAATCTCTTTTATAACTTTTGTTGCTATTTTGAAAATGAAAATTTACTGGAAAATACCGGTCTGCAAAGTATTCCAGGTGCAGCCTATTTCGTCCTACTTCTATCGTTTATATCTCCGGAACATATCATCCATTTGAGCTGAAATTTTCACTTTCTTCCTAACTTTGTTAGGCCTATCTGCTGTGAAAATATCAGCCAAACTGATGAGACTGATTGAGCAAGGATCTGCAGGAATTAGTCGTGCCTTAGATGCAATGCCTCATTGGAATTTATTAAAAAATCTTAATAAATCTAGGAAAAAAAAAGTTTCGATAGGCCTTAATGCAACGGATTTAGAATGAAAACTTAGATTTTTTCTAAAGTCAGAAAAGGATTTTTCGACACTTTTCTAGTTCTCCACTTCCGCATGTCTATATTATCTCACAGTTAGGGTAGTCTAATCCACTGTAATCCTGAGGCACAGAGAAGCCTCTATTGTCTGAGACGACCTTACCGTTGAATCTACTCTCCATCAATAGCTGCAATCACGAAATTTTCAGAGAAAACTTGATTAGAACAGAACATTTACTGGAGAAAATGTCAAAATAAATGGTTAAAATTAGTCGGAGTTATGAAACACTTTTTGACAAATCCTATCAATTCTTATGTTGAGACTATCCAAGGATTAATCAACTAAAAAACCGTTTGACATGGAATTTTTATAGCACGGATCTCTTGAATGAGAGGTCTAACGCCATGAGATTTGTTTCCTATGCTGAAATATCTTCGTTTGAAGAAAAAAATATGTCGATCTTCTAGCTTCTCTGCATGAAGATTGATCAAGTTCTGATTGATTCTTGAGATCGCAATTCAACATGCTCTATTTGTGGTCAAATGATGAAGGTCTAGGTGCTTTTTACATGATAGCAGGACTTTTTACGACTACTGTAAATATTATAATCATTCAATTCTTTTACTTCATTTTCTTTTGTAGCATTTAGAAATGGGGGTGGTAAGAATATAATGGTAACTATTTTGTCTATTATACATATTTTATTGATATAGGTGCTTTTCTTATACCATATTTTTGTATCTACTTTCTTGTTGGAACACCGCTTTATTTTCTTGAATTATCACTTGGTCAATTTACTAGTCGTAGTACAGCGGCTACTTTCACAATGTCACGTATGTTCAAAGGTATTATGAAGATATTTCATACCGATTTATGAGAAGATAATATATATTTTATATTAGGAGTTGGCTTGGCAACGGCAGTTAATGCTTTGTTTGTTTCGCTTTATTATAATGTAATTATTGCTTGGTGTCTATTTTATCTTTTTGCTTCAATGCAACGAAGACTTCCATGGAGTGATTGCGGAAATTGGTGGAATACACAACGTTGTTCAAATGCAGGTAGTATTCAAAAGAAAGAAGTTTTATAAAAATTATATTTATATTATTAGATGGATCGTCGAACTCAACAGAAAGTTTTCTCTGTTTAAATACTACTCAATCAAATAATTGTTCAACGCCTGTATTTTCACCTGAAGAATATTTTAAGTAAGATCTTTCAAATAGTAATTTTATTTTAACATGAATGAAATATATTGACAGTAACTATGTTTTACGAAGAAGTGATTCATTGGAAGAAATAGGTTCTCCAATTTGGTATCTTACATTATGCTTACTATTAGCATGGATAATTGTTGCTCTTTGTCTTGTTAAAGGCATTAAATCATCTGGCAAAGTAAATACTAAATAAATTTGAATATTATTTTATGAAACACAATCTAAAAAGAATGTTGAGTCATATAGATGCAGAAATTTGGACTCACTCTCCCACAGACCATGACAGACGCTAGCTAAAGATCATTACAGATCGTGACAGACACCACCCAAAGACTATCAGAGATGACAACTAGAAATCATTTCAGACTGTGATAGACACTATAGTATATCCTCAATTACAAAGTAATTAAGCAGCTCGATCGTGTTTCACATTTTAATCCTATAGAAACTGCACTAACAGCTTTTTTTTATCAATTTTCTCTTTCAGGTTGTTTACTTTACTGCATTATTTCCTTACGCAGTAATTATTGCTTTGATTGTTCGTGGTGCAACTTTACCAGGTTAATAAATTTATTGATAGAAATTCTTATAATTTTGTTTTTAAATAGGTGCAGCAGATGGAATTATATTTTATTTAAAACCAAATTGGAGTAAAGTTGCTGATTTTAATGTGAGTTATTAATATGAAAATGATTATTCAGAAATTAAAAGTTGTTTTATATTAAGGTTTGGGTTGCAGCTGCTTCTCAAGTTTTCTTTTCCCTGGGAGTAGCATTCGGTCCAATACTTGCTTATGCTAGTTTTAATAAGTTCAAATCAAATTATCTTAGGTTGATTATTGATATTTGTTGTCTATAGAAATTTTTGTTTGGTTTTGTTTTTTAGAGATTGTATTATTGTTACAGTTTGTGATTGTTTTACTTCAGTGAGTTATTGATTGAACAAGTTAAATTTTTATATTTAAACGAAAATAGGTATTTGCGGGATTTGCTGTTTTTTCAACTCTTGGTTTTATGGCATTCAAAACGGGTTTACCTGTTGATAAAGTAGCTCAAAGTGGGCCAGGTTTAGCTTTTATTGTCTATCCACAAGCATTAGCAATGATGCCTGGTAGTGTATTTTGGGCAATTATATTCTTTATTATGCTGCTTACACTTGGTCTTGACTCACAGGTTTTTATTTTTGACAATAAAATGAAGATTTATCTTTTTTTGTTTTTTAATATTCAGTTTGCTCTTTGTGATGTAATAATATCTGGTCTACTAGATAATTTTAAGCAACTACGGCGTTATAAAATATTTGTTGTAATTGGATATTGCATAGTTGGCTTTTTATTAGCACTTCCAATGTGCGCACCGGTAAATAGAAAGAAAAAAGTGGTGATATGAAAATTTTCATTTACATTTTTTTTTATTGGTAGGGTGGAATTTATTTATTCGTATGTATATCTTTCATGTTACTAATTAAACTTAATCTATTTTATGCAGACATTACTGAATGAATATTCAGCTAATATATCAGTACTTGTTTGTGGATTCTTCGAATTTATTGTGATTGCTTATATATATGGTTGAGTATCAAAAAAATAGTATATTAGATGTTTTCATTTTGTTTACATAGGTTTTAATAATTTTATGGAAGATATTCGTATGATGTTAAATAGACGGCCATTAGAACCTTATTGGTTTTTCACTTGGTGTATATCAGGTCCGATTATCATTCTTGTAAATGAACAATGAACAATTTGTATTGATAATGAAATTAAGTATTTGTTTAGATTGTTTTCTTTTCATCACTAATACAATTTCAACCACCAAAGGAAGGTAATTATATATATCCACTATATGCAAATGTTATCGGTTGGCTTTTTGTTTGTGCATCGGTTATATTTATACCTATTATTATGATCTATGAACTTATTAAAGCATGGAAAGTAACAAAGAATAATCAAAATCAAGTAAGGAAATAATTTCCATTATTTTTATTATCGACTTTTTTCTTAAGATTCCGATTAATATGCCACATTACTTACGAATGTTAACATATGCAAGTAAACCACAGGATAATTGGGGACCAGCAAGAAAAGAAAATCAATGTGATCGATATGAAGCACTGAATAAAAAAACAACAGTACCTGTTCAAATCAATAATAGTTTTGATCCTCAAATTGACTTACGTACAAGATTCTAAAATTTTTTATTCAGAATAATAAAATTCGTTGTAGTAGCAGGATCAGGATCCTGGTCTAGGGGAGCTTAACTCTCAAAATTTTTCAAAATTTGTCAAACATGGTGGGAATTTTTTGGAACGTGCTATGCTTAGTGTGAATATTTCCTTTCTTTCGCGGTGCATAATCATACACTCTTCACACATTTTCATTCCCGATCAATGGAAATCGAAAGATAGTGGAAAGCTACATTGTCACGCTTGTCCAAGAGTGCGAGATAACAAATTTGCTACGCGATGTTGAACTCGTCATATTTCTTGCTGCCCGGCTCATTATAAGATAATTTGTGACTTTTACTTGGAGTTAGTTAATGAAGATAAGAAAAAAAAACAAAAAATAAAGAATAAAGATCGCGAGAAAATGGTACGAGACGAACTTCTTTTTTTTAAAATTCTATCTCTAATGATATTCTGCATATTATCCTGACTTCTACTGCACAGCTCGATAGAAATTTTGCTCTCTATTTGACTCAAAATTTAGCTGGGGTCTGTTTGGACCCCAACCGGGAAAAACTTACGTGTTAGATAGGTGATGATATGAGAGTCAAATTTCGATTTTTAACCTGGCTATTTAGTAATAGAAGTTAAGCAATCGTTTGACAACTAAATCTACTATTGGAATTTCCTTGATATTTTGTCACAATCAACAAAACAAAATAGAACAAACATCTTATGTCAATTATATTGTAGAAAGACATCCAAGGATTGACAAAGAAGGGTGTGGGTGTAGGTGGGAGTGTAGATCAATGAACTCACACCTACACTCACACCCACACCCTCATCAACGATCGAAAACTGAAAAAGATATTTGTCAAAATGATTCTTCTTGGCATATGTGTTATAAAGAATCATTCATAGACGTATGGTTCGGCTCCTTATTCTTGTTCAACTGAGTTGATAGAAAATGCATATGTTTATTCAAATGAATTAGAAAAATCATCTTTTGCTTTCAGCGACTATCTTCTAAACTTAATATAATGACACACCGTATTTCCTTCAATCCCAATAATATCTTAACGAAGAAACAGCACGCTAGACTCATGGACACATTTTCGGACAGACGCAACTTCCTTTTTTTTGAAATATTCATTCGTATTAAGTGAACTAATTATATAACTATATATTCAATAGCGTTTCGAAAAGCAATATATTCGAATGCGTTTCGGCGAATTCAATGTATTGATAAAAAGATCTTTTGAAACGCATTTTACTGATTCTATCGACTAGTAGCGTTCACTGGAAGAGAGACAGCTTCTTTTAATCATTAAACATAATTAAAGGCATAAAATGACATGAATGCGTTTTAACACGTTCTAGAATAAAAATTAAAATGTGTTTGTATGCGTTTAATCTACAAAGCATTCCAAAACTATGAATGTTCTCGAAATGCGTTCAAGAAACACAGTGATCGGTACATCTAGATGCATTTTCGTCATGCTTCGATATGAAGACATTATCCTAATGGTCCAAATTTCATGTTATGATAACAGGGGCTTCCCAAAAAGTTATCGGGACAAAATCCTATGTATTTCAAAAAGAGTCCATTTCTGCACCTGAATGACCATTTTTTTCCAAAAGTTACATTTTTTCGGTGTAAAAAGCTCAGATTCGTAGAGAACTCAAAATTTTGGGTAAGAAAAATGTTTTTGGCTAAATTTGAGTGAATAACTATTCTATGAGGATTCCAATAATGAAGAATAGGGTGTCCAGTGTGGTTGGGACTATTTCAGGAATAAAAAAGACTTTGAGAGCTCTCATTATGATATTCTTAACCAGCACCTCTCAATCCACCACTAAAGCTGATTTGGATTCGTGAAAAAAAAATTTTTTTTTTCATGATACCTGGAGACTACAGGCACAAAAATCGTCAACGTCAATCTTCGGGGAATAAAGTTGAAAAAAGTGATCAGGCATGTTCCCGCTTTCCACAAATAAGAAACACTCATGCTCATGAGCGTGTACGATACATCCCTAGGCCATAGCTACGGACATATAGTAGCAGTGTATCATGTGCAATATTGATTTGAATTTAATTAACTAGCATTAATAAATTCAAAAACTTTCGAATTTCAAGTAGAGACATCGGAATATCAGCCCAAGGAATTTTTGGTCCACTTCAGAGTCTCAACGGGACTTTCGGCCCGGTCCGAAACTCATGTATAACATTAAGTTTCAGTTAAAGAATCTATCAAAACTTTGGGCCCCGATGCAAATTCACCGCATTATCTGCATAAAAAAGTAGCATTTTTACGAATAAATAATATGCTGTATAATGCTGAGCAGGATGAAATTGTATTAAGCAGAGCGTCACATCACTCGACAGAATGACGTGCTGCTTATCAGAACGACGTACTGTTCAGCAGAAGGACGCATTGCTTAACAGAACGACGTATCGCTTAATAGGACGACAACCGCTCATCAAGATGATACTGGACAGATCACGAGAACAGTATATTGAGCATAACGACGTATTGTTCGGCAGACCGACATACTGCTCAGCATTACGGCATTCTGCTGAGCATCACGACGTTCTACTCAGCTCTACGACGTTCTGGTCGTTTCGATTTCATCTTGCTCAGTAGGATGCACCGTACCAACAATCAATAGACATACAAGTTTTTATGGAAACTAGTGAAGGTCCAAGACAAGTTATTTTTCCTTTTTCAACATGATTTTGGGTCCAGGCTGAAAATTCCTTGGGTCGAAATTCATGTAAACCTCTTATGGATCACTAAAAACCATCAGAAAAAGTAATAATGCGTTAAAGATATCAATAATTACGGGAAATGGCGAGAAATAATCAGAAACCGTCAGAAGCTATTAGAAACTAATAGAAATCATTAAAAATCAAGGAAAATCATTGCAGTTGCCTAAAAGTCACCAGGAATATGGTTAAAAATTAAAGCCCTGATTTCCATTGGCTATTAATGGTTTTTATTTATTTTACTTGTTTTTCGATAATTTCCAATGTTCGAAGAGGTTGCTCTTGTTTTCTAATGATTTTTCATGATTTTTTTTAGTTTCTAAACATTTTCAATGATATCTATGGATTTGCCGTAAGTAGATGAAAACTGATTTCTACTAATAGAAAGTATCAGAAATCATATGAAATCATGTGAATCAAGAACTTATTTTCTCCTGTTGATGATGAAGGAAACTTTTATTATATTCCTCTTTTCTAATCATCAATAATTCAAAAGATTCCGAAGAAACCATAGCAATTTGATAGATCTGAAGAGATTTTTCGAGATTCAAATATGCAGAAGTTAGTTTATGTTCAGTCTTCATAAATTTTCAGCTGAAAATCTTGGACACTATGCATATTTCTGATTAAATATATCGACTAAAGTAACAATTGCTCAATTAATTTAATAATTAAGGAAGAGTTTTCTATTATATCTAAAACATCGCTTGTTTGTGAGATCTTTTTCGTATGGAGAGATCTTCTGATCTGAAATGTTTTATAATAAGAGTAATGGTGCAGATGGCAATCGTTTGAAATAGAATACATCAATTAGAGCAAAAGTTAGATAATTCTAGTGATCTCTGATGAAATTTTAAAACATCTCTTTTTTCGGTTCGGTTCGGTTCAAAAATTTTCGACTTCGGTTCGGTTTAAGGGTCCTGAAATTTCTCTCGGTTCCGGTCCGGTTCGGTTTAAGTTTTGAAAAACCTGGACCGTGCTCATCTCTGATCTACACCCACACCATTTGGGCTAGTATTCCATCGTCCACCATTGATGCTGATTCAGCCGAGATTAATAAACTTGCACAAGACATGAGGAATTTTTCACCTGAAGTAGCTTGGCAATTGACAAAAACAACATGTCAAATAATATCAAAATGTTGTCCACAAATTCAATCAACTTTTATATCTATGGCTTTATCAGATGATACACAAGGAGTAACTGAACAATGTTTTGGTGAAACAGAGTCATCTAATTCTATTGTAATATGTTTTCTTGTTCACCACTGATGAAACTAACCATAATGATTACAAATCCACAATTAATAAAATATATATTATTGGTTACAAAGAAAGCAAAACAATCTAAACAAAGTGTGAAAATAATCCTTAACACATGTACACAAAATGAAATGCATTCACTTGTTTTTGATTGGAATCGAACCGATCTACAATATACATGTCAACGGAAAATACTTGAAAAATGAGCTGAACAAGGTGATCAGGTTTATACAGACAATGTACAACAAAGAAAAGAAGAATACATGAAAGTTATTGATGAATTGAAGAAAGATATTCGTAATTAATCATTTTTATTCTTTATTTTTATGTTATCATTCTTTTGTCTGTTGTGTGTTATATAGTGGAATAAAATTTAAAAAATGTTATGAAAACAGATATAAATGAATTCACATATAAAGATTATTTTTTTCTTTCAAGCTTCATCAAAGAAAAGACTATCAAGATTACTTTCTTTGGAGATATTGTACTTATTCATATTTCTGAACTGATCTTTTCATACTATATTAAAAGAAAATCATAGTCTTGAAGAGTTAATTTATATCTTTTTGTTCATAAATGTCAAAAAATTCTCAAATCTATTGCGTAACGTGATGAGAAACAAGATGATCTTTATGAATATGTCTTGTAATCCGGAAGATAAAAATCCGGAAAACAAAAAATTCGGAAAACAAAAATCCGGAAAACCAAAAATCCGGAAAATAAAAAACCCGGAAAAGAAAAAATCCGGAAAAAACTCCAATATCCTTATAACGAAGGAGAAAGCATAGTAGTCTTTCATAAACCCTTCCTATTGTCTTCGTCCATTATGATCATCGTCCGCTGGGTACCATCCTTCTTCATTCTGCTCTGCACTTCTATAATTACACCTAGATGGATGCGTCGTGGCGCTGAACACGCCGCCGATTGTTAGATTAGCGCACACGTATATATACACTGTCGTTCCTCTTATCAACAAACGAATGAACAGGTGTCATCCAAACATGTGGGCCTTCGTCACTTGCCTGCACAACGAAGAAGTGCATTTTCGGCAACAAGTGCTCAAGGTGTTAACGGGTGCGCAAAAAATGAAGACGAAGAAGACTTTGGCTTTACAAGCTAAAATCAACACTCTTGCGAAACGTTTCGAGGACGATGAGATCGACTGCGCCGAACATCTCGAGGGGCTCTCTTTATTGGTGGCTAGTAAAAAGTGAAGTACATTCCTCTCGTCATATCAAATGATTTCTCTTCTTTATTGTACATGTTTCTTTGTTAAATAAACTGTTGAATCTTTCTACAGAATTTTTCCCGATTTTATCTTTTCCGGATTTTTTTCCAGTTTTTTTTCCGGATTTTTTCCAGATTTTTTTCCGGATTTTTTCCTCCGAATTTTTTCTTCCGGATTTTTTTTTCCGAATTTCGGGACAATACCATCTTTATGAGTGTCCATTTAGCGTAAATTTCCAAACTAAACATTTGAAAATGCAACATTCTTTTGCGTTTATTACGACTGTAACTGTACATAAATTCAGATTTATTCATCATCCGTCCTTTAGTTGTAAGAAATGAATGGTTTTTCTATTGATCGACGTTTGATATGTCAATTCAATAATATAATTTTAATGGTCTGAAACTTAAATTCAATCAGGGATCACAATTACATTCTAGAAATTGATTGATTTTTTTTCAGGTTTGGTACATTGATGTTATCTGAAGCATATTGCCCATGGTATCACATTATTCTTATTACATAACAAAACTTCAATAATATAAGAACAGTTTACCAGTTTTTTGCATAGTACAAAGTTTGGAATTGAACTCGACATGAGGTTATAACAGTCTTGTATCGCATATAATGGAGTCATTCAATCAGATCTTGTCTTTAAAACTCGTGTGGTAAAATTATGTCTTCAAACTTGATGCATGTATCAATTCAAGATTCATCTACTTTGTCGAATGAACGAATGTTGGATTAGTTTGCTTTATTATTTAAATATAATGAAATTCTTAGCATCGTGGATGATATTGTCACCAATCCAGTTATAACCAAACCCTGCCATCTATTGATAAAAGAACAAAAGCAAATATCTTTTCGTTCTTCAACGTGTCAATAGTAACCAAGAATTACATGTTGGAAACTTGGAATTTTCCATTTCATCATATACGTCGATACTGATGTATAAATATCCATGAATTATAATATGAATATGACAAATAAGACATTCAATGGAAGAGAATATGACTTATTCTTTAATTTTTCGTAGGCACCGAATTACTTGATCATTTTTATGAATTCTCATGACATAATTCCCTTTTACTTATAACAATTGATTTCTGTTGCATTTCACTCTATCTGTCCGCTTATCGAGAGTTACAAACAGAGAATTTCCAACATCAGTTTCGTCATTTAGATAAAAGTGACATGTCTACTACCAGCGATAATCATATTATGTTTTCTTATTCATGGAAAAGTGGCCATGAGAAAGTGCATGACATAGCAAGACAATTCCAAGCAGCTGATATTCCGATATGGATGGATATTTACAACGGTCTGGGTCCAAACTTACTCGATGGGTAAATATTTTCTTAAAAAACCGAACTATAGGAAATAGTAAATGTACGTTATAGAATGGCGGAAGCTGTAGAAGGAAGTGCTGCTGTTTGTTGTTTCATAACACCAGAATACCAAGAATCCAGATGTTGCAAAATGGAATTAACATATGCACATGAATTGAATAAAACGATTATACCTTGTTTTCTAACGAAGTTTCAGCCTAAGAGATGGCTTGGATTTATTACAGCAGGTCTCATCTACTATGACTTTTCTAATGGTTTCTATGGTACAGTGCTCAATCAACTGATGCACTATGTGAAACGTGACATTCTCAAAGTGATACCTACAATTCCACCTAGTACGTAAAATAATAGTATAAATTCATCTTAACTTATTTCAATCACTAAACTTTTATAGGACCTCATCCTATCTCAGTCACGCTAGGAAATCAGTATCATCAATTGAGATCGGTACAGAATTCAAACATAATTTTTTCACTTTTCACTAGGGATGCGCCGATTCCAATTCCAACTAATTCCAACCAATTCTAAGAATTGGAATTGATTGGAATTGAAATTGATGCATCCCTACTTTGCACTACTATTCTGATTCATTTTAGGATACTACGCAAAAATGTGCTGTCGGTAGAATGGACTCACCTGAGTAGGTATTCGGATAATGTTTGTTTTTGTCATCAAAATGTCATTTGTTACAATTGTTTATTGTTTTAGAGAACAATCTTCATTATACAATGGTTTCTTGCCCGATATTTTTCCAACACAAACAGGTTATCGAGCTTCCCAAAATCTTCAGAAGTATGGGATTTTTAGAAAAATACTCATTTTTGTATATCTTAGTATAAATTCAACACCGAGATCAAACCATTTTTAGTTGAAATAGAGATTTTCTATCAAAGTGAAGAGTTAACCTCAATTTTTTTCATATTATTGAAGAGTATAAGACAATGCATAGCCGAATATGCTTATTTCTTCTAGTTGGAAACATGAAAAGATAAATCGAATAAAGCATCATCGCTTTCAATTGATAAAACGCTTTTCCATAACTGAACTGATAACACTTATTATTCGAAATAGCAACGTTTTCCTCTCACGGAAATTCCAAATTACTTGATGTTATTGATCAATAGTTCTTTATTTCTCAAATCTGACTCAATTGATAGTACTTAGATAAAAACACGAAATTTATTATGTTGACATTTTATGAAAGCAATAACTTAAGAGAGCAGCGATAAACAGTAATAGGAATAAAACGCTTTTTATGACAGCGATTAAAATATAAGCAAAACGGTAACGCAGATTCAAATATATACATTCATTTTGTTTTCTCGTAGCGAATATTCAACTTTACACGGAGACTGGTCAATTCAACCGTTATCAGTCTGTACAGATCATCGAAACTCTAACATTTCAAAAACAAGAACTGGCCAAGGTACAAGTCGTAATGATGAGACACAACTTCCACTGAATTATAAAGATTATCTATGGTGCAACTATTTGGACAATTAATTCTAAGCAAGTTTTTTTCGTAGAACTTTAATTATTTTTAGCAATACAATCAAGACCGGTGAAATAATTTTTGTTTTTTTTTCCTAATAAATTTTAAACAGGTGATGCTAAAGAACAATAATATATGAACACATATTACACATTATCATCAGCTGTTTAGACTTGAGGGTGGGTGTGGGTGTGGATGTGGGGGTATGGGGATGGGTGTGGGGTGTGAATGAAGAAAAAACTCACACCCACACCCTTTTAGATATCTTTTACTAAAAAATAACTACTTACTTCGACATCCGTCATACGAAAATTAAGTGATATACGATGTTGTCATCCTAAATGATCCTTTGAATGAGTTTTGCTTTTTACACTACTGATTTCTAATAAATGTACTTATGCTCTCTGGAAAAAAGACTATCGATGTATATTCATTTAACTACCATACTAACACAAGATTTTTCTTATATTAATATTACAAGAAAATTCTAGTAGACAGAAGTTGGTAATAGAGCTAAAGTGATATATCTATAAACAATTTGCATATAATTATACTAGGTGTAAGCATTATCCTGATATATTGATTTAATACTAATGCCAAAGTATTAGAATATTTTTTTTTAACATTAACAAAAAAGCATTAATTAATGCAATACTAATGTCAAGGCGACACCTCTATCCTGAAAAACGTACGAAAAGCTTGGTTATATGAATGTGTCATTTATTTCTTGATCTTTGTTTTTTATGTTTACAGAAAAGAATTGTTTAGTAAAAGATTTTTATTTGAGTTAAAGTTTGTCATGTTTGTTACTCACCCAATCTTTGCTCTTTCTTCGTTGATCTTTTTACCTTGACTATGGCCTATTTTTTATCTTGTCATATTACAGCCTTCGTTTTTTATCTCATTTCTTCGTCGAGTGATACGTGTTTGGAATTTGCTCTTTAATTTATGTGTGTATGTTCATTTGTGGGTATATAAAGAGAAGCATATGCATTAGATTTTTACCTCAATCTTTGTATCGAATTACTACACTTTTAGTTCAATATTTTTATTTCTTGTTCATTTGAATCATGTTGGGCTTTCAAACTCTCTCATATCTTCACAATATACCAGGTAAGAAAATGTTACTTTTAATATTATTTTCAATTGTTGTTTTTTTTATCTGATAATTAAAAGTCGTTCGTTCATCAACCAATAAACTTCACGAGATGTATGCCAAAGCTAAAGATACAAGTATGCTCGTTCGCCTTCCATGCAATTTAGCCGAAACAGTTGCTGATAAATCATTAAAAATTACTCTTACAGTTGCTAATCCCCTTGTCAAACCATTATATGGACTTAGTAAATTTGTTTAAAACAAATTCGTTTGTTTTTTAATATATATATATATATATTCTCATAATTTAGTGCATCTAATTGACGATTATGCTTCCGAGAAACTTCGTCAAATTGAATCTAAATATCCCGCTATCAACACACCAACTGAAGAGGTTATGAATACATTCAACGAAAAAACTGAATCTGTTCGTCATGTAATGAATTCAGTTAAGGATACAACTACATCAACAATTCAACATGGCACAGAGACTGTAGGAAAATTTCTTTTCTTTTTTTTAAAAATTTTTATTTAATTTTATTTTTAGGTTTTTCATGCAACAACAGCTACAGTACATAAAGCATCTGATTGTGTCTTCTCATTTTGTGAAACATATGTACCAAGAAGTATGTAAAAATAAGAAATACAAATTTCTTCTAATTCAATTTGAATTTTTCTAGTCCAACATCTTAATACCGTCAAAACAACAGAGTTATGTGAACATGCTTGTTTAACTGTTAGTTCATTATTTAATTATGTATTTCATTCGGTTCAATCATCATTAATATGGTCCAGAATGTTGACTGTATATTCTTTTTGCTTAAAATAAAATAGATGAATGATCGTCTAGGTCCAATAGAATATATGTTTTTTCTTGATTTAATATTATAGTGGACTCCATTAAACTACAGTAAATCTGGTGCGCTGAAGTGAATCGCAACAGACTTTGATAGATTTTCATGAACTCTGGCACATTCTAGTGAAGATTGGTAGAGTCCAATGAATACCAGAGTTAGAACTGGAACGGTCGGTTTGCCGGTTACTGATCAGGTTCGGTTGAAGTTTTCAAACCAGTTTTTTGCCGACTTTTTCATAGATTTTTAGAGTACTGTAACTAGTCTACTTTGCTCGTTATTATCGATTTTTGGTGGTTTAACGACCTTGAAATATAGGTTTGAAAGTCTTCAACTCACAAATTTCTAGTTACTATCAATATTGCAGCTCTAAATAGTGAACTCACGCTTTCTCATTGTACAAGAAGGGCCTCGGATCATGCTGAATGAATTTATAATGCTCACAAAAAGTTAGCCGGCCATCGAAAATTGAATTCAGCCTCAATAAAGATTATCAGTCTCGAAATTTAGAGCTCATTTTTTGGAATTGCTTTCAACTGATTTTCCACTAGCATCCAGGATCTGTTCTTCTTTTGTTCTATTGTTATGCGTGGTGCATATGTTTTCTTTTCTGGTATGTTCAAATGTATTCGTTCCCTTTCTCGCTTCTCTCTGTATGATTGTGTATGTTCTGTATTACTTTCTGGTGTGGGTGTGGGTGTGGATGGGGTGGGATGTGGTTGGAGTGGAGATGTAAGTGTGGGTGAGGGTATGGGTGGGTGTAGTTGTTGATTCACACTCACACCCATATCGACGCCTACACCCACACTCTCAAAACTTACTGTTCACTTTAGTATGGAAGGTGAGAAAGAACCTAGAATTGAGTTTTATTCGAAATCGATTACAGGATTATGTTTGTTGAAGTGCTGCGCCTAATGAAAAGTATGTAGGTTTGACCTTATAGTACACGAAGAAATAAACAACGACTGTTTTAATTCGACAAAGAAAATGGAGATGATCATGAAGGATGAGAATGTGTGTTTGTTTTTTCCACTGATGAAACTGTAGGCCTTGCCTACGTGATAGAAGAGCGGAGGGAAAAAGTATGTTTACTATCTTTTATTGACGAGGATGCAAGCTTAGGCACGTTTCGAGTTAGATCGTGCGAATGAAAGACTACGATGAAGATGATATATTCAGAATTTTTGCAAGAATAAAATTTTCTTTAAAACAAGACATTCGATAGTTCGATTAAGTCGCCAAACTTGACTTTCATTTGAAACGAGCTGCTTAGATGCACATTTGATTTCTTCCACCGTAATCCTCATTCTAGCGATAAATAGTTGAAACCTGTCCCAATGTGATTAAGAGTCTCAGGACTCGACGAGTTACATCATCGAAGTCTTGAATATATAAAAAACAATGATAAGATAAGGACGTTTCTATTCATGACTTGTTTTCCTGCATTTGTTCGAGCCCAGAATTTCGTCGGATTTTCTAGTAGTTTTGCTGAGCCAAACATGGAGCTTATGATCAAATAATACATCAGTGAAATCTGTTCCTCGTTCGGTCAGCCATGCAATAAACGGTTGGAAGCGTAACCACGATTTCTATCCTGGGGATCTAAATGAAATACTCGATATGTGTTGGACTTGCTCAAGAATCTCTTTCATTTGTTCAAACAATCGAGTATTAACTTGAAAATGTCGTACATGTCTCGGTAATATGGAACAAATACCTTTGATATTTGCAATAGAAACATCATTAACACAACTAGTACGTATAGCAAATGAACGAACATTGAATGCTCGTTCTAGTAGAATTCCAATATTGTCAACTGGATTCATATCTAATGTAAAATAATTTGGTAGACGAACCGATATAGTTTGTAATCGTGAAAAATCGACGAGTGTCGAAAGATATTGAATAGATCCGAGTGGCCTGTCCCCGTCTAAGACAACATTGACATTGATCACATTGGGAAACAAGACTGACGCATTTGAATCATTCTAAAACAAAGAAACAAACATGTTTTTGTTGAGGTTTTTTTTCTCAAATACAAAGAATTCTATCTTGAGCATGCGACATATTTTTCAAACCTTTTTTATGATGGCTGGTATTGATATATTCGTCAAATTGATGTTGAGTTTGCATACACGATCCATTTTATCGTAGTGTGCGATGTCGGTGGAAGAGAAGATTCGTTGATTTGATAATTTATATTTAATAGTTAGTTTAGACAATGGAATTGTATACAATGCAACTTGACGTCGTATTCCTCGACTGTACTCACAACAAACAAACCAACGTTTGGACTCGATCCAAAACGGTCATCGAAATGGTTCGATGAGCGCAATCACATCGTTTCGGACAAAGTATCGCTGCATTTTTCTAGCAAAGAAAAATTCAAATTTTTCTAGTTCAGGTAATTTTGATTGAATAATTTCTTCCCATCGAACACCATTCGAAATTGATTGAAAATCAAAATGATTATTATGAGTGAACAACTACAAATGTATGAGTGAAGGAGTCAATGACAGAATTTGTTCGATACCAGTCATAGAAATATTACTATTGTTTATTTTCAAGGAAATCAATGATGAACGATTTGTGCTCGGTGACATTGTATCAATCGGAGCCATTTTACATTCATCAATTTCAAATGTTCTTAAATCAGGCAACTGATTGATGATGGTAATCCATCAACTGAAGTAAATTCGATCACGAACAGGGTATACCAGACCGAGACTCGAATCAGAACCTGAAACGCTTTGATATGCGTAACATCGTCATTTTTCCAATAAAGTTCTTTGTGCGTAATAAAACATTCTATTACTGTCATGCTAATATCCTGCGATAAAAAGAATACTAGAATAACAAGAAAACCAATTGCTCATATTAGAAATGAAGTTAAGAGTCAGAGAGATAAATCAGAATAGTACCAGGCATCAACTGAATGAATTAAAACACGAATATTGAAGAATTATTTTAGATGCGACACAAATGGATTTTGAAATAGTTTTCGCTGCACTAGTACCAAAAAACTTTTATCGACACTGAAACGAAAAATCTTGATCAAGAAGGTAGTACAAAATCTTGTATTCATACATTTATACTCATAGACCTCAATTCTCAATCTATCTCGGTCATTTTCAATATTCACAGCATCTTACAGCTAACGTAAGCGTATAATATTAAACCCATTTTCTCTTACTGATCGAATCCTCCTAAAAATTTACTCATCACGGTCAAGTGAATAGACACTGAATGTTCTGGATAAATTGAAATTTGCTTTACTTCTTACACGATACGTTTGTTTTTTTTTCAAATGATTAGCTTCTTACTTTCGCAACATGATAACACTATTTATTTCGTTTCTGTTCACATCGTCTTCTTTTTTCGAAATCTTTTTAGATGAGCACTCTGCTGATAAGAACCACACAGCAGGAGTCAACCATTTGTCAAAAGACAAGAGGACGACTAATATCAAAGAACAAATCTTCATTCTCATTCACTCAATGAAGGGTGCGGGTGTGGGTTAACAGGAAAGACAAGCGTACACTCACACTCAAAAACACAGATATCAATTTTTACATACTTAAATTTCACACACCTTGAAATTTAAATAACTTACTCTAGATATTCTATAGGCATGTAACAATTATTTTAAATTTGTTAGTTTGATAGTGAGAGCTTTCATTTGACTAGAATATGTTCAATCTTCTTCACTGGCAGTAAGCAGCCTTCCATTGTAAGATTCTTTGTTGTGACATTCTATCTGCTCTTGATGCTTATTAATTGCAAGTATCATATAAGATGAGTCATCCGTTTTTGATCATCAATTTAAAGATGAATTTTTGTAAAATAGTGTTGCTTGTAGTAATAATTTTAGTATCTCTTAGTAAGAAACAGGTGAACTTCAGATTGATATATGAAGTTTATTAGGAGAAAACGTGCAAATAACACGATGATGAAAATAATTTAGATTAATGTTCTGCTATAGTTTGACGAACACCTATGTTAAATAATTTTCTGTCAAAATCTGTAAATAAAAGTATTGAAAGAGATGAGCAGATTATTGTATTATGTAGTTTAATTTAAATTCTTACTAAGACATTTATTGTTCATTTAGCCACTGCTGATACTGAAATCAACAAACACTTTCGGAAGGCTTTCTACTAAACATTTCATGTAGTCTTCTTGATGACAACTAATATCAAAGACAATGTCTAGATTGATAAAAAGTTCAAAATTACTAAGTCTCTTTAAATTGATACTTAGTTGAGAGGAGAACAACTCCATACATATCGAAGAGTGTAATTCTTCGATAATGTGCAATTCAAACACGAAGGAAGAACGTATTAAGATTGAATGCTAAACATGATTATGCTTTGATTTTGATACTCGCAGAAAAAAGAACGATGAATTAATTGTTTTTTTTTCTGCAAAAGATCGATATCAGTTTATGTCGTAAGTATAAATTAAAAATGGAATAAAAGTATGTAAAGCACAACTATTACCATACTCTTAAAATGGTTGATACAATACTATTAGTCATTTTCCATTTGAAAACGCATATCCATAAGATAAAACATCATGCTCTAGTATGTCTTATTTGATTTCGTGTCCTAGCTGATATTGGCTCTCTAATTGATTGTATTAGATACACAATTAGATTGCCAATCAAATGATGATGTTTTCACATGGGGATTATCGAAATCAAAAGATCTAGTTGTGAAATATGTTATTGTGTTTCTCTTTGTCTGCAACCCAATTTTCATCTACAATCACATTCAAATCCTGTTTTTGTCCGACGGCGTATACAAAAAGTATCATCATTCGATAAAATATCTAATTCTGAACGTAAAATAGTAATTTCGAGAGTCAACAAAAATCAGCAAACAAATCTGGACAAAAGAAATTCGAATATCTAACTAACTTAACTTTTTCTTCTCTTTCCTTCTACTTTTCTCATTCATTAGCCTCTCTCAGTTGTATCTTTTGAGTTCATCTCGCTCTTCCATATGTATGCATATATGTGTCCTGTCTTTGATATAGACATTCTGCAAATATGGAATATCTTAGCAAACATTATTACTATAAAGAACGACACATATGCTTTTCCAAGTTATCATCATCAATAAAATTTAGTCATAATTGACTGAGTGGCAAAAAATGACAAAAAATGATACGAAAAATCATATACTTCAGTCTTACTTTTGCATATCAATTGTAGTTGTAGCTAGACTGCAGAAATTTTTCAAAATTAAAGATAATTATTATATATAAATATGATGAATATTTGACCCTCCTATTGCAAAACTAGAAAAAATATCGTTGACAATGTATTGTCAGTTACTATCGGACAACTTTTATATGTTCAAACGTTACTGTCATATAATGATCATTCAGACTCATGCAAATTCTTCGGTCATGTCTCATAGCCTACCCGTAAGTAAGGAACTCTCTAGTCTCGATAGTGCAATATTTGTACTGTGAAAGAAGATTTTTATTGTATTATAAAATCATTCAAAATCAAGAACGAATTAAGCAATATGTATTAGTCAATCAAAATTCTTATTTTAAATTCGAAATATTTGTTTATAATATTATTTCTTGGAGTCCCATCGACTACCTTCATATGCAATCCAATCGCATAAGCATTCAACGAATCGTTTAGCATAAACCATATTGATCCATTCTGACGGTAATTTATCGTAACCATAGAATGCGCCTGCTAATTGGCCATAAATAGCCGCTGTGGTATCGGTATCGTCACCTAAATTTACTGCTTCTATTGCACCTTCTTTAAATGTCTTTGTATTCCAAAATGCCCATAAAGCAGCTTCAAGAGAATTAACAACGTATCCTTTGCCTCGTATTCCATCATCATAACCTTTTTTCTTTTTAAAAGATCCTTTTGCAATTTTTTCAATATCGGTATGTAAAGAACCATTTTTGAAGAATTTCTTCAGCTCGTTCGAATAAAATTTTTCACTAAGCAGTTCATCTTTATCTACTTTGTTCATAAGAACAGCAATAATGAGCGCTCCATAATAACGGCAGGCATCATATGCTCTTTGATCTCCGTGAGTAATTCGACCGCTGATCCCAGAAAACTCAACAGCAAGTTGTGGATTTCGATGGAAAAATAGAGGTACTGGTGCCAAACGCATAAGTGCACCATTACCGGCTGCGTCATTTGAACCGCAGTTGGTGGGAAATATTTTGAGAAGCTTCTCATCTGAGAGAAAATCGATTTCCTCAAGTGGAATATTATTGTTTCGAGCGAACTCTGTTTGTTGATTTTCAAATTTACGAATTGCTCTTTTAGTAGCTGCACCAATATCAAAGCAATTTCCCGTCGATGACATGTATCCATGTCTAAACCACCATTTATATCGAACCAGTTGATCATAAGGTTCAAAGCCACAGCGAGCCACTAACGAATTTGCTAAGCAAAGAGCCATGGATCCATCATCGGTGAACTAAAATAAACGTTTCCTTATTGAATTCCAAAATAAACATATAGAAAGGTTAGATTAATGTTTATACATCATTTACTTTTGTAAAAAACAAAAACGATTGCTTCAAATGAATAGACTCCTTTAGTTAATTATTTAAACAATTCAAATTCTCAATTATTTAGTTACTATGCAAAAATTTCATTAATGATGTCTTTATAAGAGAGAAATCATCTTGCTGATTTAGTTTTACGATCTCATCAACAGTAGGCTGTAAATATAGATGAGTTTGTTATGTCGTCTCTTTTTCTTTCTTTGTTATCACCGAGATAGCAACGTGATGGTATGACAACAGAACGGAACAAAAGAATAATCTCCTTCCGATGGGATCGAACCAACGTCTTCTGCTTTCCGGGCAGCTGTACTACCACTATACTAGAAAGGAGCGTGTGTTATTCGTTTCGTTCCATCTTATGTTCGAAGGGGAACATTTCGAACATAACAGAGTTCACTTTAGAAACAGTTCACGTTCAGAAATTGAAATAATTTTCTTCAGATATTTGTACTTTCTAGGGAAGAAAAAGTCTGTTTAATCCTTTCCTATTCGAATAGAATAAAAAGTAGATATAATTGTAGAAAGGTCTGAAAGAAGACATTGAAATTTTCATCAACATAGTTTCAGTAAAGACAATCTTGGTTGTATTCTGAATTTCTTTGTGACATATGAAAACTGACACATCATGTGTTTGCATTCGATGATTTCTGAATCGGTCACTTTCACTCGCAATATAAAAAAAAGCCTCATCGATGAAAATCATACATAATTTAAACTATTAAAGGAAAACAATATTTAGATCAAAAATGAATAAAATATTCTCGAAAACGATTTACCTGCCCTTTCTCAAGGCCCCATGTTCCTCCACTTTGTAGATCAGAAACTGGATTAGCGAGTAAATAACCGTGTGGTCTGAATTCGACATGAGCACCTAAAGCATCTCCCAAAAGTAAACCAAACATTGAACCCTTGATACGATTCAACATGTCTCCATCTATTGAACCAGGAGGATTTTTGAGATACGTGTCACATTCATTAGGCATAAAAATCATTGTACATTCATGATTTTTAAATTGACATTCCAGCCATGTTTTATTTTCATCTAAACAAAAGTCGATTCAGATAGTACATCTCATGAGGGCTAATATAATCCAATAGTTTATATGATTAAGAAAATCGATTTTAAAAGTAACATTCAAGTGTATGATGGTATATTAATTTTTCTGTCTACGTAGTGAATATTGACCTCAGCTAAAACTATGGTTCAAAAGACATTTCTTCGTAGATTTCGTGGACAGTATCACAAAGACAACGCATAAAACTTATTATTTACAATAGTTGAAGCAATTAATTACTTTTGTTACTTTAACTTATCAAGCTGTACTTAACACCAAAGTTGAGTGTGTACGTGTTTGAGTATAGTTCTCCTCTTTATTTCACAAACTACTCATCCGAATTACATATTTTCTCTTTCTGTAGTTTTTGTACTTCACAAAATGTGTAGATTTATATACTACTCGATATTCTGTATTATAGAGGATGCTTAAAATAGAACTTAGTGTTTTCTTCACACATGATATATATATATCAGCTGATTCAAGAGTGAGTATGGTAGGTCAGCTTGGTGACTAAACGATGAAGATTAAGAATCTATTGTAGAGATATCGTTTTTTAATGCCCGAAACACTACGAGTGCACAGGATATGGATTTGTGTGTGTATTAGGAGAGTAGATGTAATCAAATCTACAGCGTCACCCTTCGATAGTAGATAGTGTTTCAAACAAAAAGAAAGGCATTGCCGACGCACGCTTTGTAGAAATATAAATTTTGAAGAAGTGGCAAGCATCAATTAAAAGATTTGCATTACAGCAAAAAAGAGTGATGCAACCACTAAGAAAATTTCAGATATATGCCGTCAAGAATTTGAAACGAAGATCGAATGCCTACCATCGGGAGAATTTATTTGCCTCACAATAAATCTTTTCAATCGTATCTGTCTGCATCTGCGCTTAGCTAAGCAGGATACTCGTACAGTATAAGATCCCTTCTCTGACTTTCGAATTAAGTAAAATTAACTTATAGCTGTTTCAATAAGAATGTTGAAAATTTAATTATTTAAAAATAATAATGATGAAAAAGATTTCTTTCTCGTAGTGAAATCAATCATCTTGTAAATCTTTGAAAATACATTAGCACAATGTCTCACCTGTTGTGAACTTGCATGATGGATGTGGTGGCTCTGCTGGTTCAAGGGCTAGAAAACAAAATGATAAATATTAAAAGTTGGAAATGTACAAACTATTAATTCAAAGTATTTTATTTTTCTCATCTAATGGTTACAGAACTTGAATACTTTATTGTGAAATCATAGTCGAACTACCGATTTCATGTAGAAATTTTATCGAAATGACTGACATCCTTCATAATTATGTGCTACTTGAGAATTTCGACGAAATCATAGGATGTGAATCTGAATGTGAATTTGAGGGAGTGCATGCATTCGAACTAACCTCTTATTCAACCTCATTCTTAATTATACTCTATTCAAACTCATTGGACGTTATGAATTTCCATTAGATAAATTTACAAAACTGTTTCTATTGTCTAAGTTATTTGTTTATTTCAATTAGGTAGTCGATAATTCTATTTCAATAAAAATCTTTCACTTACCAAAAGTTTTATCTTTTGAAATATGTGGCTTGTTTTGAGTTCGAGGAGATTCAGATGGTGTGCTTTCATCATTTATTTCTTGCAAATCAATCTCGTCGAATCCAAACTTCTCATTTTGTGACACATTCTTTACGTATAGACGAGTACCCGGTAAAAGAATGATTTCTACTTCTTTGTTATTAGATGAGTATGCTGATATATCTTTACCATTTTCAATATATATTTTCAGTAGAGTGGATTTATTTTTTGATAAAGAACTAATGATAGTATCTGCCTGATCGGTGCATGAGGTAATACCCCACCAAGTAATTGTTTTTCCCTTCGGATATTTTTCTTTAATTTTGGCAGTTACACCTTGATAATAAATGCCTTTTACGGGAGGTAACTTTTCAAGTGCTGAACAAAATAATTTGAAGTAGTTCAACCAGAACTTGTTGAGATTGGTTGAATCTCCACATCTTAATGTTTCATTAAGCATACGACTGAAATTTGCATCATTGAACTGAATAGTGTACAAATATATAGCTGCTGATTCATCAGAAGTAAGACCATCTGAAGAATCCATATTGCAATTATTTTTCGCTTGCTTAATATGATGATCCCATTGAGGAAAAGGACCTTTCAAGGGTTTGAGAGCCTCTTCCAGTGTTAGAATACGATTACTTTTATAGCCTTCAATTGCATCTATTTTCTTGTTTTCGCGGTCAACATCAGTGAGCCGATCCATGAAAGTGATTTTGGTACCTACAATAATGTTTATTTTCGTTATTGTATAGCTTTGTTTTAGAACAAGAAATTACACGTTCTTAGCAAAATACGGTAATAGGCATGTAGAAGAACAATAAGTAGCTTGAAATTTTCAAAAGTGATCTAGTTTCGAAAACCATGTAGTTAGATGATAGTACATATGAATGGTAGTATATTGAAAAATAAAATCTTTTATTTCCCCTATTTTGCGGTAAGAAGTAATGCACGATATGTTCTCGACAAGTAATACTAACATAACTTGGGGCAGAATATTATTCTAATTTTGAATTCTCTTGTTCAATTTTATAAGCTCTTATGTATATGGACCAATTATATTCTGACCAAAACAGTAGTTAGTTTTGTATTAATAAATACTTTTAAAAAAATATAAATCGAAAATAGAATACTTTATTTTTCCAATAGTCACTGTATGTCATATTCAACCCCGAAATAATGAGAATTTGGTAAGATTTCAACACTTGTTTTACGAATAGTTTTCCTTTTTTTTCCAGCAGTTGAAATAAACCAAAGTGAAACCTTAAGAACTTTGAAAGTATCATTGAGATTTCATAGTCTATAGAATCTATATGGTTCTTGTTTTTTAATAATATACCAGAGATGTTCATGAGGATGTAATTGCTTTTCTGCTTTCACAACTGTGACATGACAGCCACCGAGTTCGAGCATCCATGATCGTCTGTTAATTGTATTCGAGTTTCTGATTTTAAATTTACTAAAGTGTATGCAGACAACTCGACTTTTCGGAAGGATTCAAATGACTGTTTCGATCTATCTCTCCAAAAAAAAAAATAGCTTTACATAGATAAATTGTTTAAAGTGAGACTGATCGATCAGATAAAATTCTTTTTATGTCATTATTTATGACCTTTTAAACTTCTTTCTCGACGTTCTAAGGCAGCTTGACATAATATTTCTGATTTCATCTTCAGAATGAGTTCCCATATTGAGTCTTCACTTTTGGACTTAACTCTGGAGTATGAGTTTTCAACTAGTTCCCAAAAGCACAAAACTTTTGAATACAAAATTTCAAATAACTTTTGAAATGGGTTAAACATTGAAACACAACTTAAATTTACTGTTTTTACTATGACAAAAATAAAATTGACTTTATTTACTTATTTTTAATAAATATTTCTAAAGAACCGCTTTGAAATGAATAAGTTTCAGGAACAATCCTTTCATACATGAGTATCTTAATACTTCATGACTCGTACTATAATTCGATGGCGACTTAGAAATTGAACATTTATTTTGTATGCAAACAAAAATCTAACTTTCTCAATACATTTGCAGAAATATCTACGTACAAGAACTTGCTTGTGCCATATTTGAGTGGTCATCAGATTTCGGAATCGTTGAATATCTAGTTTCATAGTTCTTAGACGTTGATCTTATAAAGGCTACATTATGGCTTGAATTCGATGAAGATGAACCTAAATTTGAAAACAAGATTTTGCAACAAACTGACTTCTAACTACGTAATTCATGGAAGAGCTTTAGAAAAAAATAAACAATTTTATAAATCATTTTATATGTCGAATCTTCTTTAGCACTTAAAGTCTGTTTTAAAACCTGTAAAAAGTCATCATAGTTTCCAATCAGCTTTCACTGTTGTTAGATGTATACTATTTATTTTTCTTTTACCTCACACATTCTAGAGAGAAAAAAGAGCACTTATAAGA